GTTACACTATTAAATAGTTTCTTTCTCCAAATATCCTACATGAAAATTACTGCTTGGTATTTTTATCTGCTTTCTCTGGCAGAACTCAGACCTTGGTGAAAGTCTCTTCTTTCCTTTTCTCTTTGTTCTAACTGGGGAATTACTAGGATTTGCAGAACAGAAAACCTGGGTATGGGAAAGCTATCTTAACTTGACCCATTCTCAAATCTAGTGCAAATTGCCTAAAATGACAGGGTGGAGACTGATGGGCAGTATAAGTACAGGACAGAGCACAATTAACCAATGAAGGCCAGATGACTAATGTCCTTTAACATCACATGTTTGTAGAGCTTTCTCTGAGATGTGTCAAGCATGAGTGAAGTCCAGAGCCACATACTGGAAGGCCACTGATTGCTGTGGCTACGCCATCAAGAACAGAGAAGCCACCTTGTCTCTTTGTATAGCCTCCTCAAGAAAGACAGAGAACTAACTGGGCAAAGTAGGATAGGAAGATGGAAAAAACAGGTTTGTTACTATTAAAAATACTGTCACCACATGCTGGAGTTCATAGCCTATTTTCTCTCTCAAAAATAAATTCATATTCATTTAACTTTCTTATTGCTAGTGAGATGCGAGCCTCTTTTCATATGCCCACCAGCCACTCCATGGAAGGAAGACTGGATAATCTACTTCCCTAAAGATTTACTGCTATGGAAATCCAGTGGGGGTTGCTATGAGTCAGAATTGACTCAATGGAAGTGAGTTTGAGGGTGGTTTTTTTTTTTTTTTTGGTTTTTCATATGGGCATGGGTTGCTGAATTTTCTCTTTAGCAAACTGTCAAATTTTGTACTGAGTTTTACCTATCCTTCCCCTCCCCCCAAAAAATTGGTAAGGATTCTAAGATATTAAGTACTTGCCATCTACAATGCAGAATTTCCCCCATATTTATCATCCATCACTTATCTATTGATTTTGTTTGCTATCACTGACTTTAAATTTTTCTAATTTTGGTGCTTAAATTTGTTGATTTTTTTTCCTTTTAAAATATTTGGGTTTCTCATCATGTTAAATCCCTCCTCCCATGTGCCCTGATGATGTATGTGGTTTTGGAAATTTTTTTCAAATGTATTATATTATTTTTAGTATTTAAGTATTTAATCCATACAGTTATTTTCATATATGATGTAATGAAGGTGTACAACTTTATTTTCTTCCAGGTGGATGCTTAATTATACAAGAAAAATTTATGAAGCACATTTACCTCTAAAATGAAACGTTGTGTGTGTCATACAGTAAATTCTCATGCAGATTAAAATTATTCACTGGACTTTCTATTTTGTTCCACTGATCAATTGCTAGGTCAACACAATTTGTCTTGATAAAAGAAACTGTACATATATGCTCAGATATTTGGTAAACGAGGTCCTTTCACAACCACTTTAATACCTACTTCATGTATGCATTTTTCCATATGAAATTGAACACTATTTTATCTAATTCCTTTCTCTAATTCAACTTTCTTAACAGCTCTACTTGGAACTGCACTAAATCTATATATATTAATTTATGGAGAGACATTTCTGGTATACATATTTGCTTAGAACTTATGTCTTTGAAAAAGATTTTATTTTTTTCTATAGTTAA